TACTGAATGATTTCAAATTAAATATATAATGCAAACTTAGCAATAAAGAAAATCTCATATTAATGTTTATTACTGTTAGACAATTTTTAAATATATTCAATATTTTAAATCAAAATATAAACAATTTACTTGTCTTATTTTGCTAATGACAAATACAAAGTACCAATTGGTAAAGAAATACCAATAAGCACTAGAGTTTAAAATAAAAAATTACTAGTATTAAAACAAAATAAACTTTTAGTATCTAATCATAATTTTATAAAATTTTTAATTACTTCTTCATATTATTATTTACTAAAATTCTAGAAGATCTAATTTAGTCATTTTATAGTAGACAAGTTTATATTACATTATAAAATACTACTTTTTAAGCTAGTTTAGCTCTTCAACATGCTACAGAATTTTATGATTTAATAGAACATTTTTCATTATTAGAACTTATTATATTATATACTGATAGAGGTTCTAATTATTAATACAATTTTGAATTAGTTCAAATTTTACTTATTTTATTTTTTTTAAATAAAAATTTTGATTTAGTTATTGTTGCACATATAGCATCTTTTTATAGTTAAACAAATTCTGCTAAGTGAATAATTTCAATTCTTAATCTTGGTTTTTAGAATGTTTCTTTGCAATGTGAGCAAATGTCTAATGAATCAGAATCTGTTTTTCAAAAATTATAAACATTAGATGCTATTTGTAAAGAAGCAAAAAATAATTCTATTTTAAAAAATAAATTAAAATTATCAATTAATAAAATATAAAATATACTGTTTGATCATATTAGAAGATTAAAACTTCATGATAACTATTTTAAAATAAATAATCTAATATCAAAAAAAGATATTAATTCTTTTTTTAAAATAATTAATTTATTTAATATTTTATTAGTTATTGGATTTAAATTTTAGTAAATTTTTTTATTATAAAGATAATAACTCAAATAAATTCTGAATTAGATAAATTAATAACTATAATGAATCAATTAATAAAAAAAAAACTTATATTAAACCTTTGTAAAAAACTATTGCTGAATTAGAAATTATATGTTTTAGGTATAATTAATACAACTTTTTATAATTAAATTAATTTATTAGTCTTCTTATTTTATTATATATAGATTTTAAATATAATCAAAATATATTTATAACTAAATTTTAGTATTAGTTTAACTTTTATAATAAATTATATTAGATAATAAAATGTGGTAAACATGAATGCAAAGTATGTAAAAAAGTTTGTATACCATATAATGATTTTTAAAGTTTATTTTTTATTCCTGATTCAAAGCCATCAGAAAATAGTAATATTGAATATAAATTACTAAATATTTCTACTAGATTAATTTATTTGAAATTTAATAATGTGAGTTCTGAAAATTGTCCCACTGTTATCATGATTACTTGTAATCAATTATTGAATTTAGATCCTATCATCTACTTAAGTAATTGATTACATGAAAAATAAAATTTATCTTACTTTTCTTACATTTATTACATTTATTATTTTAGATAAATTGATAGTATATAGAACATTCAGTTTCTCATTAGTATAGTGAAGAAAAGGATTTTAAGAATAATATAATGTAAATAAATAATGTAAAAAAAATTATTTTCAAATATAAATTAAAGTTTTATTATAAATAAAGGGCTTTTTATTTAAAGAGAAGAAGCATGCATAATACTCCTAAGTTAATATATTTATTAAAATAAACTAAAGTATTAGATCTATATTAAAAGTGGAACTATAATCTAATCTAAACTAAAAACTATCAGTAAACCATTATTGTCTCTATTGTTTTTTTACTTGATATCTACTAAATCACATTTTGTTCATTTGCTGTAAGTTATATATCCAAGTTATTAATATAAGAGAAGGACTCTAATCCAATTTGACATTTTGTAATTCCAGGTTAAAGAAGTAAAGAAAGGACAAGAGAAGACAAGAGTTAATAGAAGAATAGGTTAAAAGAAGAACTTAGAAAGAAGATAAGAATAGTACTTATCTATGGATAAATTACTCAGCCAAATCTAACATGCCTATTTCAACTTAGCTACTATAGATTACATGAGGATTAAAAAGAATTAGCAACAGATTTACTGAATTACCAAATTATAATAGATAATGATCATTATGAAGAATTTGAAATAATTTATAACAAACCAATTTTAGAAAGATTTTGCCCATTAGCAATGAATATTACTATTAATGATAAAATAAATAAAATAAGACCAGAATAGTTCATTAATACAAAAATTAGATATACTATAATATGTAAATATTATGACAAAATGTGATGTATTTACAGTAATGTTACTTTAATAAATAATGAGGAAATCAAACTTCAAGCTACTCTTGATGGTCTTATTTATAGTTGTGGGTCACAATTACTACTAGAAAATTATAAACTTTCTAAGTGTTTAAGCGTTAGACTAAATATTATCTATGATTCTTCTATTGAATCAAGATATTTTTCATGATGTCTCAAAAGGTTTGATATTTTGTTATTAGTGTAGGAAATCAAACTTCAAGCTACTCTTGATGGTCTTATTTATAGTTGTAGGTCACAATTACTACTAGAAGATTATAAACTTTCTAAGTGTTTAAGTGTTAGACTAAATCTTATCTATGATTCTCCTATTGAATCAAGATATTTTTCATAATGTCTTAAAAGGTTTGATATTTTGTTATTAGTGTAGGAAATCTAAAAATCTTATTGAACCTTCTAATATATTGAAATCTGAATGGAAACAATATATTCTTTATGCTTATTTTGTAAAAATAATGAGAAAACATAGTATAAGAGAGCACCTAAAAAGTTTATTCAATCAACTAGTACAGAAGAAAGTGGTAAAGCTAATACTACTGGTAAAAATAAAAAACTAAAAAATTAATATATAAATTATACAATATAACTGATTTTAACAAATAAAGCAATTATAAAATTAACATTATATGTATTTAATTAAGATTTGAAAAAAATTAAACCAAATTCCAGTTAGGTTCAACTTTGACCTGATTTAGGTTCCTATGAACCTAAATTAGGTTACCTTGAACCTAGTTTAATTTTATTGTTTGTTTAATTTTTCCCCTTTCCCCTCTGCAAATATAAAAAAAAATTTATTTATTTGAAGGTCTACCTTTACCTTGTGTTTTACTAGATCTTTTACATTATTTGCATTATATAAATAACTATTAGACAATTTAAATTTATAATTTTAACTCATATTTTCTTTTAAAATTTTTTGTCTTAATTATATATCCATTTTCTGCTTTGCTTCTTTTTCGAAAATATATGACAAAATAAATTCATTCAATGTTTTTTGATCATTATCTTCTAGTGAATAGTTTGATGCTTTTTTGAACTGTCTTATAAGCTGATCATAATACATTTTTTTATACGTATATTGGTGAACCTGGATTGACTTGTATTAATTTGGTATACCATTTACGATATTAATTCGTATGTATGTGTTGTGCCCCAAATGTTAATTGGCCTAAATTATCGGGCTAAAAAATTAATTTACGTTCCCAATTGACAATTGAGACAATTTGGGGTACAACATATGTATAGTAAAGAAATGTATTATCACTACGTACAAATAAATTTGCAATCACGATCGTGTAACATTATAAATATGAACCTGGAATTTACAGTACGTACGTAAATACGTTCGTACTGTACTGGTATATTTATTACACCAAATGCTCTAGTCATTATTGCATTACTATAAACGATGTACTGTATCGTACGTATAATACAGTATTAATTTTATATGTGTACATTCTTACTGTATCGTACCATCTCAAAAATTTATTTAGTACAGTACGAAATATATGTATTCATTATCTCAATTTAATTTTATTAAACAAAAATATTGGTTTTCGTTATACAATATATCAAGGTTTTATAATTAAATTCGATATATTGCGGTATTTTTGTAATAAAAATTAATGAAAAAAATCATCATTATATAATGGCAGTTTCGGGTTATCAAGGTCGGTATACATATTGAGGTTATACTGTATAAGTCTCTGCAGCAACAATCATAATATAAAATTTAAAAATTATGTTATTGTTTCACACAAGTCTGTCGTTATTATCTTGCTTGCTTGCTTTTGATAGCTTAAATTATTCCTTCTTATAGATAATAAAAAATTTTCTACGTACTGTACGTGCGAAAGTTCCAGAGTAACAAGTTTTGTATCACATAAGTGCTACATACGACTGATAAAAGTTCAGAGTGACAAGTTTTGTATCACGTAAATGCCATGAACTTTGGTCAAGTGTAAAAATCGAATATTCATAATCGAATATTCATTAACGAAAATAGCATAGTAATTCATAATATTGGCAATGATCTTAACAAAACAATGTTTAGTACTGGCTTATCATTTATCGTTGACATTTTTTTAATTGTTTGGTTATACGCAATATAAATTATTATTTGTTACATAAGTAGCGATATATGTTAATTTAAGTGTTAAGTGTAATCATAACTTTTCTAGAATAGAATTTCAAAATAATATAACTCCGAAACCCTTTGATATGCATATCACATTTTTAGGAAGTTCGGGTAACATAGCTTTTATTTAACTACTAAGTAAACTTGAAGTTTTCGCTTTACAACATTCGTGGGTCTCACAACTTTTGATAAATGTGATACCCTTAATAAATAATATTATTGGTTAAGACAATGAAATTAGAAATAAAAATCAATTTTATATTTGTATGGTTCATCCTTCGTAAAAATTAGGAACAGTTCAGCCTCATGATGCATGTGACCAACGCGAAATAATTTCTCAATAGACCTTTTTTTTTTAATAAGATTTTTATAATCGTAACAAAAAAAAAAAGTTGAATTACGAATTATAATTCTAATAATACATATTAATATTGATTAACAAAATAAATAACGTATTTATGGATAAACTGTAAACTACAAATATAATTAAACATGACTCGATTCAACTAATAAAAAAAATTGCATAATATATTAAAGGGAATGAACTTCACGATGTTCTTGCACCAAAGCACATAGAGGGCAGCACCAATGAGTACAAAAATCACCACAACAAGTTCCCTATTTATAAGTAAAAGGATAGCGTTGTAAAAAAAAGCAAATAGTATACTATGGTAATATTACAATATTAATGGTAACGTAATACTTACTTTGATGTTAAGTCTTCCGCGAATTTCACCACGACCCATTCCTCCGGCAATAAAAGGACAGCAGCAAAAAAGACAACATGAGCCACAACAATCCGTATTATTCAACTTAGCTTTGGTTTCACCCTGCATGATAAAATTAGGTTAAATGACTGCATTCACTTTAACCAAAAAAAAACAAAAAAGTAAAAAAAAAATTCTTACAAATGTAACGCAAGGAAGACACCATGTCTTAAAGCCTTTAAATATGTTAGAATGAACGTCAGAAATTGACTCATTAAATAAATAATTTAGGAGGATATAAAAAATAATTACAAAGTCCACAGTCAGAAAAACAATCAAAAAGTCCGAATCTCCACTCTCTTCGCCCTCCTGGTTTTTCCTGTACAGGAACACCAACAGTCATTTGGGGAGTTCTATTATAACCATTGGTTTGAGGTGTCTGTTGGTAAGCCATAGCAATTAGTTTTCCTTAAGAGACACTTATTATGTTTATGATGTTGAAAAATGAAGAGTTGGATTTAAATATCTCAGCAGGAGAATTAAGATAAACTAGCGATGTTACCTAAACTATATAGAATCCCAAACTGAGAGATGAATAGCATTACACAATTTCACCAAGACAAAAACAAGTAAATGCGTACTTAAAGTGATATTTGTCGTTATATAGTTTAGGTCATTCCAAATAGTGTGAGTAACATCGTTAATAAAGACTCAATGAGAGATTACATTTGTTTATATTTAAACAAACAATAATTAGATAACGAGGGAAATAAGACAAGTCATTTTGTTATTGTTAATTAATAACGCGTAACGGCCAACTATAGTTAATCGGTTAGTCATCAATGTGTTACGTTACAGAGTACTGGTCTCTAAATTAGACATGACCTTCTGGTTAAAGTTAAATAACTGACTCCGGCTCTTCAAACTTTCGATTCCGGTTCTGTAATGTGTAATTGGTATGTCGAAAGTAATGATTAATATCGATTATTTCCAATTTAATATTTTATCTCCTTTCGAATTATTGAAACAAATGTTTTGTGAATCCTTAATTTAATATCGCATTCTATTATACATGACTCAATTTATAAAATTTAAGTACCATTATTTTAAAGGTTACAGTACTTCTTATTTTCCCGACAGGCCATTTGCCGTTATTTTGTGTGATAAAATTGCCCATCAGGGAAATGAGCGGTTACAAACAAACCTTTCACAAATTCTGGGATAGCTGAAAAATTTTCCGATAACCAATCGATAAATTACCTTGATGTTGGTCGAAATTTAAAATTTATCGATTCGGTCTTGGCAATTTTAAAATTGATCTAAACTTTATGAAAACAGCTGTAATTCATTTGATACTTGTAATTTAGTAGACTTAATCATATAAACTTGTGTATAAGCATAATCTTAATATAGGAGATGAGGGACTACCCAAAAGCAATCTTTTACATTATGTGAAGAAGGCTAGTAAAAGAGCCAAGTTGAAAAAAAGACACTTTAACATGAAAATACTATTGTGTTTATAGAGTTAAAAAACAATGAGTTATAAAATATTAAATCCAAAATTATAAATAGAACATTTAACCTAAGGATGTTGTCAGCTTGACCCGGTTTGTACATTTATATAATATTATAAAAACCGAATAATGAATAGAGTCAAAATGAGCTAATAACATCCTTATTTAAGCCGTTATAAATATTAATCAAATTTTAATTTTTAAAAATTTTCTAAAAGTTAACAAATACAGGAACCTATAAACATCAACATGGAAACTTATATTCTTTTGTCAAAACTATTCTAATAATAGTACAGTTAGATTTTTTTAAAATAAAAAAGTTGTACTAAGTTTCTAACTAGTATTTTAATGTGAAAATTCTCGAGTTTAATATAATAAGTACTTATCGCTACCTCTGATTGACCAATCAGGATGCAGGATCAGGTAAAAATCGACTCAGTCAACCAAATCGTGAAATTTTTAACAAATTGCTTTTATAAACAAATTCGATGAATTTTTTTTTTACATACCTGTAAAATTAAAATAAAAGAGTTCAAGTTTGCTTAGACAGTTGTCAAGATATTTTCATTCAAAGTTTTTAAAAATTTTTTTACTAGATTTAATTCAATAAGCATTTTCATTCTTTACTGAACTTTAAACGAAAATATTTAGACAGCTGTTTTAACAACTACCTAAGTAAGTTCGATGAACCTTTTTCTTGTTGTTTGTAAAATTAAATTTAAAAATGTTAAAATGTTTATTGAATTTGAGATATTATAGTTCAATGTTTTAACAATTTTTATGATAGTTCTAAATTATATTTATCAAATTTTGAACAAAGATATTTCGGCAAGAGCCTAAATAAATTTGATAAACCTTTTTTATTTTAATTTTAACATATCAGTGAAATAATAATAATAATAATAAATTCATCGAATTTGTTTAAGTAGTTGTCGAAACATCTTCATTCAACTTTTGTAAAAGATGTAAATCAAAATTTTTTAAAACTTTGATGATATTTCAATAACTTTTTTATTTTAATTCAACAAATTATAAAATTAAAATAAGAAGTTCGTCAAATTTGTTTAGACAATTACTGAAATATCTTCGTTCAAAGCTTAGTAATAAAATAACTTAGAATAGTAATATAATTTTTTTAAAAACTTTGAATGATAATATCTCGACAACGACTAAAAAACATTTTTTTATAAAAAATGTTCAAATTTCCTTAGGTAGTTGTAAAATATCTGCATTCAAGTTTGGTAATGAAAACGTTTATTAAATTAGTACATCGATAAAATTTTATTAACTTTGAACAAAAATATCTCGACAACTTTCTAAGCAAAATTGATGAGCTTTTTTTATTTAATTCTACATATATGTAAAAAAAAAAAAAAAAAAAGCTTATCGAATGATATTTTATGAAAATAAATTGGTCGCGATTTGATTGGCTGAGCAAGATTAATGTACACAAACCGGCTAAAGCGGACGGAGTTAATTCTTCAAACTGCATAACCCTAACTACATCAAAAAGGTTACTCTAAAACTCGCTCCGCTTTAGCCTACCACCGTGTGTTTATATGTTTTGATTATTTAGGGTTAGGACATGTTTTTTAGGTAAAATTGTCTTTCCGACATTTTTATTAATGCTCCACGACAAGTTTTGATACTCGTTTCTTGTATTTTGACAGGGTTCACTTTTTTTCTTGATAATATTTACGATTTGATTGGCTGTTGGTCACGTGAGCACGCCTTGCTTTAGACACCCCGTTATAAACATCGCATCTAACTTACTTCTAACTCGGAATTTTGCCCATTAAATCACACTTTTTATCTTAATAAAAAAAAAAAAATTTCCTTATGAAATTAAGAGTTAGAAATTCTCTAATCAGTTTTTCTTTGTTTTGTTTTTTATTTAATTATAGGGACGATGCATTGTCCTGGATATAAATAAATAATTTTCTATATTGAATTTAGTTAGTCAATGCAGGACTCTGCTATAATAGTTCATGCCCAACACCAACTAATATGTAAGTCAATCGGAATAGATGATACGTATAATAAATTTAAAAGGTAATGTGAATTTATAATAAAGTTAGAAAAAAGTAATTTCAATTTCATACGTATGTATTCTATCTCTGCATGTATCCTGTTTCAATAAATATACATATATATGTATGTTAATAAAGATATTAAAAATTTATGGCAAACCAAGATTTTATTACTACATAAAGGTCAGGAGTCAAAAATTCTAACGTTAATCGGATTTAGAAACCGTTTAGCCGCATAATTGTTTTTTTATAAAAAAAATAATTTTTGGTAAAAAGGCGTTCATAACAAAACGATAAGGATGCAATAATTATGTAATTTTTTTGAAATTGAGATATATATAATATTTTAGATATTTTATTTCTTGTAAACAGTTTCTTCGAGGTTTATTTTTTTTTATTTTATTTTATTTTTTAAAAAAGGTTGTCTATATAAAACAAGAAAATGCTACCATTCTGTGGAAAACGTGATCAATATGATAAGCATAAATTGTATCTTTTTAAATGGGATGGATCTATTATTTTAAATGTTCTTCCCCCATCACTTTTCACAACTATTGTTGCAGTAGTTGTATGTTTTATTTATAATCATTATCATATCGACATTAGCATTCATGTAACTGTAACACCTGTGCTCGCGATTGTAGTTGGTTTGTTGTTAACGTATAGAACGAATACTGCTTATGATAGGCAAGTATATAATCAATTTTTTAAATTTTTTTTAAATGCAGTTATTAACGGTTATGAACTAAAAAGTAAAATCAACTTATGCACGTTAGATATTATGAGGGGAAACGTCTTTGGTCAACAATGAAAGTTGCCCTTAGAGGTTTAACGCGTCACATTTGGATAAATGTTGACCCTAAAAGTACCAAAGATTCACTAGAAAAAGAGACAGCAATCAACCTCCTTATAGGTTTTGCATTTTCCGTGAAGCATTACCTTCGAGAAGAAGGAATTGAATATGATGATCTTAAACCTTTTATTTCAAATATCGGAAATATCGGAACTGTTATTCCGGAGTCAGAACCATTAGAAGAACAAGAAGATAAAGTTCTTGAAAAGGACAAAAAAAAGAATCCGAAAATAGAAATCAAAACATTTAAATGGATAATAAACAAGTTATTTAAGACAAAAAAACAAAGACAACCAATTAAAAATTATAATTTACCTTTAACAATCACATTTTATCTCACATCTTATGTTGATAAACAATTTAACAATAAGATTATTGATCAACCAACGACTCAAGTTTTATTTAATAACTTGAATGCTCTTATCGATTGTTTATCTGGCTTTGAAAGAATTTTAAGAACACCAATTCCCATGGCATATGCAATTCATTTATCACAAACAGTTTGGATTTATTGTATTAGTTTATCATTTCAATTGGTTTCTTTGATTCATTATGTTACTATTCCTGCGGTGTTAATTTCATCTATTATCCTATTTGGTATCGAAGCAATTGGTGAAGAAATTGAGAATCCGTTTGGATATGATCATAATGATTTGGACTTGGATGGCCTTTGCGAGTAAGTCTATTAAGTACTGATCGAATGCATATATATGAATAAATGTCATGACTGAAGCTGGAAATTAGGGACCTCGATTTAAAAATATGATCCCTATCGAAATCCACTTATACTTTTTTTATTACCTAAATCCTAAGCTAACTAAAAAATTCCGAAAATTTTCATATATAAAATATTTAAAATTTTTAACTTCAGCCGTTTCCAGCTTCAGCCTCGACAATAAATCATATTTTATTTATTAATTATTTAAATATGTATATATATAATTTTTCTTTTTTTTTATATATGTAGAAATATTAAAGAAGAAATTGAAACGATCACAAAACATTCAAGACCAACAGGTGAAAATTGGGTATATGATCATACAACTTCGATGATTGAAATTAAAGAAAAACTTTCACGTAATTCTTATGGTAGTACTTTAGATGGAACATTATATGAAGATGAAATCTCTCCTTATTCTGATATATAAAAAAAAATTTTTTTTAAAGTATTTATGTAAAAATTTTGTAAATAGACTACATAGTAAAATTATTTTATTATCATTGCCAAGTTACGCAGTTACCAGTTCAGTAACCATTGCAAAAATTACTTATCGATATATACAAGTACTGTACGTATGTACATATTTAGTAGTTACTCGCATCGGAACCCGGAAGGCGTCTCATATCTAAATTTAGACATTTCCACCTAAATTTGTTTAAAATTGTATAAGATGTGGAGATACACTAACACTAAGCAAGTAATTTTATTAACTGGAAATGAATCATGCAACTAATATGTATTAATCATTTGAGAATCGCATAAACTTGATTTTAAAAATCAAATTAATGCAGAATAATCTAAGTAGAACTCTTATACATTAACTAACTCAAAATAGAGATAAAAAACTTAGATCTGTTTCATTTACATTCATAATTATCTTATCGAGGTCGTAGGTGCCTATATACAATCTTCTTTAAAAGCACGCATGCCAAGTGTTTTTTTGTTGAGTTATGCATGGGCCGGGCCGGGCTGGGCTGGGCTGAAATCCAGATCCAAATTGCATAACAGAATAAACTGTAAAAAAACATTCGTAATTTTGATGTCAAAGATAAGAATAACGATGACAACATTCCATAATTTTGGCCAATCAGGTTAAATATGGAACTATCCATAGGCTTTTGGATCTGGACCCAATTTTCTGGATCCAAATTTTTTAAGACCAAGCGGAACAAATTCATGGGATAGTCCAGTCCTATTATTTATAATGTTTTTGTTGCTTCATAGATCACTATCCACTTACTATTCTACAACAAAAGTTCAATCGTGTTCAAAATGAATCTTATTTTTACAAAAGCTTTGACCTTTTTATTATGAAATTTCAAATTTATGAGCTTTTTTTTTCAGGATTGGAGTTTCATGGTAGTGGCGCAAAAAAATCGGAATGATCCGACAACGTTGATCTCGATATTATTATCTAAATATATGGATTAATATTTGTATTAATATAAAATAGGCAATTATATGTCTAAATTTTATGTTAAAAACTTTTACTTAATTAATGACTAAAAACAAATTTTCATATATTTGAGTTTAGTATCTGGTAACAGAAGAAACAGTGCCCGATCCAAAGTGAATCCCTCTCGCCTGTGATCAATCACAAATTAAATTATTTATGTTGGATTCAATTGTGATGGATATAATCCCTCACCAGTTTTAATATACGTGTAACATTAACGATCTCTACTGACACGTTGACCCTACAATTAAGTGGGGGGTAAGCCAAATTTTTTTGTGCCAAGACTATATTACTTGTTAATAAAAGAGTGTATATGGATGTTAGCAGCAGTAGCTATAACAGAAATCCGAAATTTCAGTATCAGTCAATTTTAACATAATGAACCTTGAACCTTGGAAATCATTTATTTGGTAATTAAACCATCAAATTCTGGTATAATCAAATTCTAGCAGGTTAAACTTTTTTTAAAAAAAAAATCATTATAAAATAAAATGTTTATTAAGAAAGTTTTTTTTAGCTTAGTAAGAATGCTCTTTATAAAAGTTAGAATTTGAAGCAATGAAGGATAAAGAATCAAAAGTGGATGTTGTAGGAGTGTAAGGAAGATTATTTAAAGATCCATTATAAAAGAATGATTCAGTTGTATAACTATTTTTAAAAGTTTTATCAATAAACGTAGCATTTTGACTATTTATCATAGTATTGTTAATAGTACCATTATTAGTACCATTATTATACAATTTCTGCATATTAAATTGTTCTTGATTTAAATCAAATTCAATATAAACATTTTGCGCGGGTAACAATGCGTGGTCTTGCATAGGATTTACTATTTCATTAGACAATTGTTGATTATCACTTAACTTATCACTTAACGTTAAGGATAAACCAGAATCATATTCTTGCTTTGGAACAAATAAAGTTTTTTTGACCATCTTATTCTTTGGTTTTGGTTTAGGACCGCGTTTTTTACTTAACTTAAATTCACAATCAAGATTACGATTTTTGCAGTTTGTACAGGTAACAACTCCAGAACATTTAACATGCCTCTTTTGACAATTAGTGCATGCATTAGTTGCATATGAGCGTAATTTTCCTGAAGACATTACTAAAAATATTTTTATGCAAATAAAAAGAAAAAGGAAATACTAAATATGTGAAATATTTCTATTAAAAATTAAAATAGTATAGCAATTAAAAGGGGTATAACTAAGAAAATCCAAGTTTCTAAGCATGTAATGAACCCATTTTCTTAGTAAACAAAGAAAGAAAAAAATGACAGAATTTTCAAAAATTAAAAATTGATTAAATGTTATATATAATCTATGGGGAGAGGAAAGGTATGTACCAATAGAAGTGTCTTTTTATAATTAACCTTTTTGATCTTTAACCCAGCTATTTTACTATAGATGTGCATACCAGTCTCAATATCCATGGTACGTACACTCGGTTGTAATCAGAACCAAGTCATATCGATATATTTACAGTTACCATTAAATGTAATTCTATAATTAGCAACTTTCTCATGCCTATAAAAAAACAAAATCCTGGTGACTGGCGCCAAGCACATAATTATATACATGTTACCATTACCATTATTTCTAATATAAACTAGTGCCTTCCTTTGGATTAGCTTTTGACGTGACATTATGTCAATACATATATATACAGTACGTACAACACAAATAGTTTATACTGCTTATAGTAAGTATAAATGTGCTGCAAAAATTTTTGGTATTAAAAAAATTAATAGTGTTGACCGGACTAGCCGAAATTTTTTTTACATAATTTTTACGTAATTTATGTAATTAAAATTTCATGTAATTTTGGTCATGGGAATAATTCTGGTCAAACCTCAATGAAATGGATATTAGCAATTCATGCGTAATAAGTGATTTATGTGCAACATTAGCGTTTATAAAAATTGGTAAATAAATCATATAATTAACGTTAGCCATATGGCTGATACTATTCGTACATAATTCTGAATAGAGTTGTTAATCAAAGTAAATTTTAGGAATGATTTATTTATTTTAAGTTATTCCTGTAAAATATTCTATAATCATTTTGAGATCACACATTCTATTTTTGAAGTCATTCGTTTTTCGCGAAAATATGTTAATTGTAAAATTTGATTATTAATGGACTTTCATGCTATACGTTTCTGCTTCATAATAACTTTTTTTATGTATAACAAACAACATCTATTTACTTGGTTTTTAAATGTACAACGGTTATACCCAAAAATTTTGTTTTAAAAATTGTTATAGGAATTTTCATAGAAAATTTTAATCGCATTTCATCATTGAAAGTTAATAAGTTACATAATTTCATTCACTTAGTTTTAATGATAATTTTATTTTCTGGTGAGCAACGTTAGATTACTTAATATAATTACTACAAAATTATATACGATATATCTCATAATGTAAAAAATAAAAAAAAATTGTCCTATAAGGTTTCGTTATCACAAATATCCAATTTATAATCTTCACACAAATTACACCATTCTGTAGGCGGAATTAATTGTTTGAGATTTGATGGTAATTCAACAATTTGACCCATCATTCCTGTTCTTAAGTGCCACTGTTATTATCGTTATAATCAAAAAACATTAAAAAACATTGCTCAAAAAAAAAAAAAAAACATATATATATATATGGTGTAATTGTTTGTTACCATTATTGGATTTTCAAAAGCCCAAATTCCAGGATTATTAATGCTTGTTCTAACCAGTGTCCACCTATAATTCGTGCAAATTTGTAATTTGCTTTTTTTTTAAAAAAAAAAAATTATTATAATAAAAAGAGCTTACCCTAAGGCTGGTACAGTCACAGTATCTCGTTTTATAGGGTTAGTAGTATTTGATAAACTTTCATTGTTATAAGGAGTGGATTCATTTCCTCTATCAAGAACCCAAAAATTATGACCATGCTAATATAATAACATTGTTTAATTAATAATCAAAGCATTTTTGAGGGTTTTTTTTTTTTAAAAAAAAGATTTATAAAAAGTTGTTTATCTGATATTTACCAGATAGAATACTAGTTCAATCGTATGATTATCTACAAGAATAGTTTTAAAGTTAAATAATATTATTAAATAAAAAGAAATAAATAAAACTGAAAATACTCAACTTTTTAAAAGAAGATCAATAACATTATTCTTTTTAAATACATAAACGTTCCAATGATGATCAAACTTTTTTATACTCCCTTCTAAAACTTCTTTAATGGTTGATGTGGTTTTATTTGGTTGATAAACATAATTCCCTCTGGTCTTTGAACAAATTGATGAATATATAGCACCATCAATTAAACCATCTTGATTATATATATTAATGTTTTGATTAGTCTTATTCGTAATATTATTCGCAAGATTATTCGTAAGATTATTCGTAAGGTTATTCGTAAGATTATTCGTAAGATTATTCGTAAGGTTATTCGTAAGATTATTCGTAAGATTATTCGTAATATTATTATTCGTAATATTATTCGCAAGATTATTCGTAATATTATTCGCAAGATTATTCGTAATATTATTTGTAATATTATCGGTAACATTATTGGTAACATTATGGAATCGAGATATAACCATTGTCATTTCATATAAATTAGTAGATGAAGGAATCTCTTCTTCAATTAAAGGTTCCAATTCCAATGAATCCATGTCTTTCAATTTAAAGTTTTTCATTTTACCATAATATCTATTATTATAATAACTCCAAGAAAAAGTTGTAGGATAATCAAGATCTTCTGTATCATATCTCAAAATAGCTATTACATTTGTAAGTTGTTCAGTATCTAAAGCAGAGGATTGAAATGAATTTTTGTTGATTTCACCTCTAATCAAAAAATTTGTTGTGCTCATAAATTTAGGTAATCGAGTTGGAACTACTGAATATCTTTGTGCCACATGAATTGGAATACGATGATAAGGCTTTGAGAGTTTCGTTAACGTTCCTTCGACCTCTACTATTTGAAGAGTATGACCATCAATTGAAAAGAAAAATGAAGTCATAGCACTATATTTTAATGCATTATTTTTTTTTTAAAAAAAAATGAGTAAATTTAATTAATATATTCGATGTAAATTGATGATGTCTTTGAAATGAAGTTAATGCTTTACCTGGTATTTATGATTCTAAGTCGATACTTTTTATTAGGTTCAAAATAAAAGAATTCAATAGATCCAAGATCCAAATAACAATTTTTTCTCATAGGATCATTGGATTTATAATTTTTACAATTAAATACACCTTTTCCATTTATTATTGTATTTTTCGGAACTGGCTATAATATTCAAAAATTTATTAGTTAATAATTACAAAAAAAAAAAAAACTTTATCATTATCAATTTAAATTACCTCGATCATGGAAGAATTGTCACTATCAAATTGATAAAAATTCAACAGTTCTGAACCTTCTTTATGATACCAATCAGATAAAAGAATATAATTTTCTTTTTGATAATCGAATAATGTTTGATCATTCTGATCTTTTATAATGAATGCACCGTATAAACCGTCAATTCGTTGCGTTTCAAAAGATGAATAACTAAAAAAAAAAAATTTTAAGACAAATGTGTTAATTAAAAAAAATTTCCATTAAAAAACAAATCATTCAAATTACTTACTACCAGTAAGTTCCACTTTTAAGTGCATCAAATGTATAAATAAAGCTGGAACCATTCTCAATTGGACACTGACTAATAAAAGGAACTCCATCCATAAACGGATTAATATTTTCGATCCCATGAACGTGTAAACTCGTTGGGGTACCTAATAAATTCGTAACATTTATTCTTACTCTATCACCTTTATTTACTATAATAGTTGGACCTGGAAATTCATTGTTTATTGTAAGAACTGATCTTATGTATCCATCTGGTGATCTCGTTTCATTTCGGAGAATAAGGTTGAATAATCTTTGATTTTGTGTCGGAGTTTGAAGTTGATGCGTTGGTGTCGATGATGATATCGATGTTACAGATGGTATTAATAATACGGATGGTATCGATGTTGTAGATGGGATAAGTGATTCAGTTTCAGAGGTAATATTATATGAAGAATTGTTAGTATTTAAAGAAGAGCTTATGTTTTGATCTATATTAATATTTGACGATTTGGATCCTGAATATAATTGATCAGGCCATGAAAGCCAAAGTGAATTATTTGAATTTGTAAGTGCAAATAATAATAAAATGCTTGATAAACATAATAGAATCGTAAATCCTAAACAAAGTATTCTATATTTTCTTGCAATTGTGCAAAATAATGATAATAACATTTTTCCTTTTTTTTTTTTTACGTGTTTAGTTCGGTTTAATTTTGATAGAATGTTCGAAAAGAGTTTAATTGATACCAATACAGAATGTATGAATAATTAAGATGTTTCCGTGTGGCTGAGCAAAATGTGCTTCGCCCTGGTTGATACAAGATTTATTGGTATATCGATATACGTGTATAGCTATGACCTTGCATAGTTACAAACTTGGTTTAACTTGGCATTAACTTTAGCATTAACTTAGCATTCACTTTAGCATTAACTTAACATTAATGTAGACGTTAAAAAAAGTGCACTATCGGTATTATACGTATTACATTCATCATTACGTCATTAAATTTATGAAATTAAAAAAAGTTTGGCCGCATATATTGTCGAACCTCCTAAATTTGATCCAACTGATAAACAGTTAAATCAGTTATATCAGATCTATCATGTGTATGTATTAAATACGTACGTACAAGGTTGTGCTTCAGAAGATCAGGAAAATCACTTCCTGGGCCGTGGGTTCAGGTGGAATTTGCAGTAAGTATAGTCGGCTGCGTACGACCGATTAAAATTTTGTTTATATTCAGCTACACACAATATAACTGGTTTATCCATGTAGCATAACTCATTGTATTTATTTTAGAGCGAAACCTTTATTTTACGCATTTGTTTTTGAAATTTAAGATTAAATAGGATAATACTCAATTACCTAAATTATATATATATATATATAGTAGAAATAATTACGTGGAAAAAGTTACGTAGATGGGGTTGACCAGGGGTAAGTAAGTTTGTTTGATAACAAAATTTATGATTCATATTTACTTTTTTTTCGTTTTATATCTTTCCTAACATTAAATAAATAAAGAAATAAAAATTTGTTGAATTAAAGATTCTATTTCACAGATTTTTTCACAAAATAAATAATTATATAATCATGAATCAATAATTGCGCAATAAACATGAATTTATATGCGAATTTCAACATTAAACTAGACAATCTTTTTAAAAAATGTCAAAAACCTCAATTCGTCTCATCTGAATTTTATCCGATTAAAAAAGTGTTATTTTCGAAAGACACTTCATTATGAAATTCCGTAGTTCAACCTGTAACTAATACAGAATAGATGAAGAAAACATCGATCTGGTCATGCTGAGTGCACGCATATAATAGATTGCCAAAATGGGGTCGTCTAAAGTCATGTACCAAACAAACCATAATCTTAATTTTAATTAAAACGATCGAAAAGCCAAAATCACGTGGGTACATGGACAAATGTCAACGTTAATGATTTTATTTTAGTTTCAGTATGCTACACTCAAAAACTTTATATTAATTTTTTTTTTTTTTGAAATTCTTGCATTAAAAAATATTTTTTAAAAAAATTAAGCAAATAGCAATAAACCAAAAAACGTGTGATTTGTCACAATTTTTTATAGCAAAATTACGTAATTTCCATCTTTAAGTGTCCTGCACTGTACAAGTTATTATAACTACGAACAATAAGGACCAATTTTTTGAAATAATTGGGGTTTTGAATCAAGGCAAATCCGCTGAATTTGGTTCATACTGTAATTTTTTGTATACAGTATAGTATGTTAGTCGAGAGTATTGATCGAACTTTCGATTTTAGTTATACAAGTTACTCATTATAGTGAATTCTCGATATAAGTATAGTGAAGAACAGTTTATACAAAATCCTCTCGATATAGCGATAGTAATAGGCTCTTGATAAGACAATTTCACAGCCCGGTCAACGAATGTCACTTGTGCTTAGATCATGTTATGTGATTGGACACTGTAATCCAAATATTTTTGATATTACACAAAATTTCCCGGGTCCCTAACACTAATATATATTCGTATAACGATAACGGCCAAGGAATTCTGTGATACCTAATTAAATTGCATTACCCAATTTATATTTGTATTTAAATTTCCCATAATGTTAAAAAAAAAAAAAAATCCAAAAATTTCACGTCATTTTCATGTTTTTGTATTAAGGTATATCAAAGTTTCATTTAATTTTAACTTTCTACGTTAGAATGAATTTTCGACATTGTTCGCTAGATAATGCAAATATTATTTCTGAACAAATTTCATTAAGACAATTATCATAATTATCATAATCATTATCATAATAGCATTTACATTTACTCAAATTTTGTACGAATATTCCTGCTTTCCGAATAAAAACGCTGATTATGATCCTTTGGACAATAAATAACAGTCGCATACTTTATATGGTTATGAAATATAAACATAGACCGTTATATATCGATATCTGAAAAATCAAGTGGTTCATTAGAAGTTTAGTTCTACAAACTGTATTTGTATACCTAATGCCGTGTAACAACCTTTGGAAGGTATTTTTATATTGTGAAATTTGATAATTTCTTTTTTATAATATTCCCTTCCGCCATTTTTTCCTTCTTATTATCGAAAGGATGAATTTTGTGATAATATAATTCCCTTTTATCCGCCTTTCCTGCTTCTTTCATCCTTATTTAATTCATTCATTCATATATAATCCATCCTATCCTTTATATTTAAAATGAAATTAATTTATTTTTTTTGTATTTTTTTATTAACTTCTTCTTCCTGGTCATTTGCTAGAAAGAGTAATCAAAAGAATAATGCACAATTATATCAAGTACAATTGACTTATCGCAATATTAGTACTAAAAAATGCTATGCTTTAGGAAAGATCAAAACACAACACCTTGAGGCAGTTGATAATTTATCTAAAAGAGGCGAAATACCTCTATCTAAAAGAGCTGCAAGCCCTCAAGCTATAGGTGCCGTTAATTATGGAAATGATGTAGAAGTATGTAATATTAATTCTATTAAAATATTATTCTTATCTTTAAAATATTATTCTTATCTTTAAAATAATTGTATTGGTTCTTATTCTAACTTTATTATTAGTGGATAAGTCAAATATATATGGGCACACCACCACAACCATTTCTTGTGGTCTTTGATACTGCAAGTTCTGATCTTTGGGTAAGAAGTATTAAGTTGTCACTTTTAAAAATATTGATTATTAAACATATGTAATTTGTGATTATAAGGTTCCTAGCATCGATTGCTATGACTGTAATAATAAAAGGTTGTTTGATTACGGTAAGAGTTCTACCTATCAAGAAAATGATGATGATTTCTCCATCACTTACTCGGACGGTTCAAGTTCTTATGGTTCGATGGAAATGGTAATTAATGAAGTTAACAATTGCTCTTCTATAAGTATTCGATTATAAGTTTTATTCCAAGTGCTTATGTATTAGGATACTCTTAAAGTTGGATCCATGACTATTAAAAAACAACAATTTGCCATGATATATGATATGAGTTCATCATTCCAAACTGATGTTATTGACGGTATTATGGGGTGTGGTATGTCTGAAATTTTCTTTATTTATTTAAATAATGTGCATTTTAATCACCAAAAATTTTCATTTTAACTATTCATTTTTTTGATATATATATATATATATTTTAAAAAAAAACAAACTATTCAATAGGATATGATTCACTTTCAGTATATCCAGGCACTCTGACTCCTTTAACAAATATGTATAATCAAGGTCTAATTCCTCAACGAATATTTTCAGTACAATTGCGTCCTATACGAAACAAAACTACATATGGTGGAATATTCATCTTTGGTGGTACCGATTCTCGTTTATATAAGGGTACTATAACATATGCACCTGTAACTACTAGAAACTTTTGGCAAATTGCAATTGATGCGGTAGTATATAATGGAAATAATATCTTTACAAGTTCGACTAGAAATAAACAACAAATTATAGTTGATACTGGAACCGCATTAATGATTTTAGGAACAAGTGTAGTGAAATCACTGCATACGAGCATCAAAGGAAAATATGTTTCTTCTTCAAACACATGGCAAGTTCCTTGCAATTTGAATAGTAATACAAAAGTGGCAATTAAGATTAACGGTGTTTCACTCGCAATTAATTGTAAGTTTACCATGAAACTCATGCATTAATTTTTTTTTGGCTGATTATTTTTAACTTATTCAACTTTTTTAAATAATAGATCAAGACCTTGTGAGAGAAAAAGTAAGTTCTGGAAGTTCTTGGTGTTATTCCGGAATAGGTTCTACTGATAGCTCAGTAAGTATTTTTATTTTATTCTGACAATACTTCTATCGGATTTTTCACACTTTAAATTTTTCTATAAAATAGATCTGGATTCTTGGTGGTACCTTCATGAAAAATTATTATGTAAGTATTTCTCTGTATTAATAATTTTTATTAATAATTGATTTTAGTATGTTCATTATTGATTTTTTTTTATGATTTAAAGGTGATATTTGATCGCGAAAAAAATCAAGTTGGATTCGCTACACCTGTTTATGCTTATTAATTATATTAGATTTGTTAAATTTAAATAGATCTTTTTTTTTTTTTTTTGCACTATGTTATATTAAATAATCTGATGTCCTATCCTGTCCTAAAATTTTGACATCTACTGTTTAACAGTAGGATCAATGATATTATCTTTTGGCTTTTCGCAAATTATTTTATTTGTCTCTAAATATTTTTCAGGGAAAATTTCACTTATGTAAGCACTAATAATTGATTTCCCTGTTTTAAATATCATTCGTGAACCGTTATGGGAAAATTTGTATGATATCATTTCAACATTGTAAATTTAAAAATTATGGTACGAATGATCGGATCAGTACCACTGGATCATAGTACTGTAGTATGATATAGATTAATTTTTCGGCATTTTTAAAAATTTAAATATATACATAAATAAATTTAACAAAGTTCATCGATTTTAAGTAATTGTCGGAATATCTTCGCTCAAAGTCTGTAGAAACTCAAAACGCCTATAATAAAGCAGTAAAAAATTTTTTTTAAAAAACTTTGGGTAATGATATCTCGACAACTACCTAAGCAAATTCGATAAACTTTTTTCTTTTAATTTTAGAAATTTATAGATTTAAAACAAAAGAACGTCGGATTTGCTTAGGTATCTAAGCAAATTCGATGGATTTTTTAATTTTAATTCTATAGATCTCTAGAATTAAAATAAAAAAAAAGCCATCAAATTTGATTAGGGAGTTGCCGAGATATTATCATCCAAAGTCAGTAGAAACTCAAAACGTCTATAATAAAGAAGCAGTCAATTTTTTTTTGAGTGAAGATATCTCGTCAACAATCTAAGCAAATTCGATGAACTTTTTTTCTTTTAATTCTAGAGATCTCCAGAATTAAAAAAAAATAAAAAATTAAATTTATTTTTGCATATACTGAGCTATCTTTATTTAAATTTTTAAAAAATTGAATTTTTAAAATTTGAATCGATATACGTAACTGGTAAGAAAAAAAAATGCCGAAAGATTAATCGTAAAATTATATAGATACCAGACCAGTATGGTAATGCTTATACTCGAAAGGTCGTACCATCTAATATATACTTTATGTACGGATTGATAAAATCACATCCATAATGATCTACGTTGAATTTGTCATTAGCATTAATAGAGAAATACATACACTAATGGATATCTAACTTTGTTGAATAATGTTGATGTTTATTTTTAAAGGCAAAAGGTGTCCTCCCTAAGATTTAAAATAGAGAGAGAGAGAGAGAGAAAAGAATAAGCAAGAGCACTTTTATATATGTGGTAAGGGTTGGAGATGCGCCGTGTTGGCACTATATGTATTGTGCTGTACGCTGATCACTATTAAAGGTGGCTGACGGCAAAGCAGAGAACAAAATTTATTATCCCAATTTTCGGCTAGACAAATTTCATTACTTATCATATCTAAACATCTGGTTAACATCACCCGGAAATTTTGTGCACGGCTGACAGACAACATATTTGTGTAGGTTTTATTCACTAGCACTAGGGTGGTGTTCGGTTTTTATCAGTTCTTGAATTTGTGCCAGGTTGGTGACAGCGATTTCCTGGACTAGGTACTGCACAAAAAAATGCACATGATTTTGATTGGCTATACTATGATTTGCTATCGGTCAGGTGAAATGTCCAATGATCTGCATATACGTATACTATGTAATTTGGATTGATAAGATTGATAACATCTGAA